AATATGTAAAGCATTATTCACAATTTTTTTCAAATCTTTATAATAAGTCTTTTTCGACTCATTGTAACTGCTTGTACGTACCCTGTTAAGTGCTTCGTCCCTTCGTTTCATTAATTGTTTAATATTGTACGTAATCCAGGGGTAGCTGAAATCTTTTATATACAATATACGAACTGGTGCATGAAAATCGAACAAGACACGTATCATATTAGTAAATTGATCCACCATGTCATTTACATTGCTCAAGTTGGTTAAACTCATCCAGTCCATGGCAAATAGATCCATATCAAAATGTTCAAAATTAATATTTTGAAAATTCCGGCGCATTATTCTTATCGGTGGTGGTTTCACCTTTGACACGTTTAGTAGGCAGGTGATGAACGCGTGACTACTTAGCTCAGGCGTGAAATGAACCTGCGCTAATGTGTTATCCATGTCCGTACAAACCAAATCAATTAAAGTTTCACTAAACTCGGTGAAATGTGTGGGCTCCGATACACATTGAAATAAATTATGACAATGCAGAAAGTTCATTAATGCGGTGGTACTCGTATCTAATTTGTGTAACAAATTAACATTAAAATCTCCCAATAATACAATTTTGTTGCACCATGAGAAACCACTTAGGCTCTCAGTTAGTGCATCAGTGAAGGTATCTAAGTGTAACCATGGCGGTTTATATGCAGTACCCACCAGCAACTTAATACCATTAATGTTTACACTTAGCCACATTTGCTCCACGAGCGAGGCCGGCGGATGAGGTAGTATGCGTACAGCGATGCCGCGACGTATATAAAAACCGACCCCCCCGCCGCGTGAGCGAACAGTGACGGGGCGGGGAATATGACATAACCGGTAGCCGGGCAGCGCCGGCGCACGACCCTCCTCCCCCTCCCTCAACCACGTTTCATTGATTGCCATAATATCCACGTCGTGTCGGTGCATTGCTACTACAAATTCGTCATGGCGCGTTCCTAACGAGCCCACATTAAGTAAACCTAACTTAAGTTTACGTTTCATATTGAATTTAAATAATTATAGTTGATTAATACGATATTAACACTGATATGGACAAGTAAATTACGGTGTGGTGCAACAAAATTGAGTCGACTAAGTTCACATTCCATAGCCAATCGAGTGTTTTGCACATGGTTTTGACCACGGCCCTGCCGCTGATGTAGGTGAAGTGCGTGTTCAGTGTATATAGGTTGTGTTTCAATAACTATATGTGTACAGAATGAGTGTAAAATGATACGTGTGGATTTTGTGTGTATAATGTTGTAAGTATTATTATAGTATATGTAAATTGTAAAATATAATGTAAATATGTAAATATAGTCATGCGTTAGATCTATTGCGGCCAATGTAACACGACACGCACGACGGTGCATTATGTACAGATGTTTTAAACATAGCAACAGTGACAACAGTGACAATGGTATGGATAACACTACTGGTAGGCTCTTGTTGTCGGGGAACGAACGTTCTCGGGACCAAAAATCTTATCCAAATCCGCTTCACTGCGGATGCGGTGACCAGCGGTTCCGGCTTCCCGCCTCACGTAAATCCTACCATCTTTGGTCCATACAAACTTCCACTGCAGCCTTCTAGCAGTTTGTTTCGCGGTGTAAAATAATTGTCTATTGACTCGGGTGAGACGCTCATTGACGTAAATGGGCCGAGGCTGGCATTTCAACCCCAGACCCTCGGTGGTGAGGTGCCGTCGAACGCGCGCAGCTCGCAGCAGGGCATCCCGCGTGTCCCGACGCGCCAGCCTTACGGCCAGTTGTCGCGGCCGCGCACCCTCCTCACGGCGCAGCGCACCCACGCGTGTGCAGCTTACCAGGTCACGTTGGTCTATCTGCACACCCAGCTTAGCCGCGCAAGCGAGCACAATATGGATAGGGTTTTCCCCACCTTCTTCCGGCACACAGCTGAGTTCGACCTCGTTCGACAGCAGGTCCTGGTCGCGCTCATTTAGGTCTCGTTGCAGCCTTTCGACATTTTCTTCTAAAGCCCTAATTGTCTGCACAACTTCAGGATTTATACCAGTGGATGTCCCTTGTGCCACCTTTATATCCCTCACCGTCTCCTCCATCTTATCCAGGCGATCTTCACATGCCCTCACAGTCGACCTAAGGTCTACTAGGTCCTGGCGCAAACCCTTCATCTCCTCCCTGGTTCGAATCATCTCTAGCCGGAAAGCACGTAGCTCATTGGCGAGACTCTTGTCAGCGAGTACATCCTTCGGATCGTCCTGCGAGGTGTCTCGTAACTCTTTTTCCTGTCCAGGGCTCTGTAGTTGCGGGGCGATAGGTGTGGGGAATGTGGGTGCCATTGCAGGGGGTGAAGGTGCCATTACGGCAGATGGCCCTTTAACAGGAGTGTTGTCCTGGTTATTTCGAGGTACTTTTACTTTACAACCTGGACACACCCACGGTGATGGTAAATGGGACTTCTTTCCGACCCCGACACATTCTTTGTGGAAGCATTTAGCACACATAGAACAAACAGCATTAGCGCCCTCTGTTGTTGATATGAACTTCTGACACGCACTGCACTTAACAACCATATCGACCGATGAAGTAAAGCTATCAAATTATAAATTAAGAATGAAAGCGAGCTCACTACTTAGTTCACTCAACTGCCGATAGGAGTCACTGGTGGTGATTTTTAGTATTTTAAAAAGTCGGTACCAATTGGTTAAGTTTTTGTATGATACCTTACAGAAATTCAAATAAATTATTATTGCGATGGGAAATTGGCTTTATATCACTAATTCACTGATATTATTACGCACATAACATTCAGAGACGACCGCGATACACTACTCTATACTTTACGTAGAATGTAAGATCGGTAAAACGCTTTTAAATATTTATTTTGGTAAAAAAATTGACACTGGTCTTTGATTGCGTACGGTTACAACGACGATTTTGTGACAACCGTGATTTACTAGATAATTTTAGCTTACCTGATTGAGACAGCCTAGTTTTTAAAATAAAAGAAATTAATTTTTTATTCGATTCGTTATCTAAGGTAGTGGCATAGTACTCAATACTATCAATTAATTCTTTCGTATTTTCTTCTTTGTCAGTCATGACTGGCAGAAGACTTAACGCGACCTTCAGATCGAACGTTGCCATTTTTAATATTTCTTCACTTTCTTTTTTTATATTGCAAAGATTCTTTACTTCACTGTACAATAACTTAAAATCCTGACAATATTTATCAATTAAAATTTTTTCTTCTTTACTTTTTAAATGATATACCTTAGTAATAGCATCTATATAAGTGTTATATTGTTCTAATAATTCATTGGCCTCTTTAAGCTTAGTTTCAATTATTTTTCCACATCGTCTTTTAGGTCCAATTTTAATTAAGTAGGTTCTAATCTTTGAAAGCTCTTCATTTAAATTTTCCAAATATTCTGACATACATAAAATCGCACTTACCTATATATTTATACTATTTATATTATATACTTAAAGTCTATAATGTACATATTATAATGTAGTATAACCGTTTAATAAAAAAATTTTTTTTTGTTTCGCACTTAAATTTTCATCATTTTTACCACACTTACACTGGTTTTCACTCACTAGTATACTGGTTTATTAAAGCAATTTGCTTCGTGACAGGAACATCTCGTGACTCAGGTTTCTTCATAAGGAATCGGGGTCGTCGTCGTTACAAGGAATGCTCGCTCCCTTACATTTTGTTTAACCGTATTATGCCTGCATCAACGCCTCGCTGCACTCTTTTATTGAAACACCTCACACAATATCGGATCATAATGATAGCTCCAACCATTAACAGTATTATGACAATTGCCACCATGGACCACGAAATGATCCCAATATTGGTCACGATATGATTGTTTGTAATTTGGTTGTTAACACCGACTTGTGCGGTGACTTCCGGTTTTTCAGGTATTTTTGAGTTACACATTTTTGGCACTAAAATTTACGTCCACGTCCGTGTGCGCTAAGTGTCGATTAGAATAAATAATATACATTTTAAGTCCGTTGAGCCAAACTGTAACCGGGCACTAGCTACATCCCAAAAATGGCAGGGTCGCCATGTAGGGAGAGCGTACGACGGAGACGAATGAGACAACTCGATGCTTGATTAACACTGAATATAATAAGTAATAACATTGATGTAAATACATGGTGCTTAACAATAACAATTCTTATACTACAGGGGCGTCAAATTTTTTGTGGGACATAGTAATAGGTGACGAAATATGGATTTATAGTTACAATCCCAACAAAGCAGCAATCGAGCGTATGGGTCTTTCGAGATGAGCCGAAACCAACCAAAGTGGCGCGCGTGCAAAGTGCCTCTAAGCAGATGATACCTTCTTTTTTAATAAAACTGGACACGTGGCTACTGTTGCTTTGGTGAATTGTTGTACCGTAAATAGTAATTAGTACACGACCATTTATTTGTCGGAAGTTATTGACAAACTCCGTAAAAATAACCGTAAACGCCGTATCATCTTGAAACACAATAATGCCAGTTCTCACACGACCAGACAGACAAACGAATTTTTCAATGTGAACAACGTTGACCTTATGAGCCATCGCGCGTACAGTCCCGACCACCACTTGTGATTTTTATTTATTTCCAAAAATTAAGAACCAGTTTCGCGGTCAACGATTTTCATCACCTGAAAAGGCTGTTGAAGAGTATGAAAAATATGTTTTAGAGATTGTCACGGAGGAGTGTCATAAATGTTTTCAAAATTGGTTCATTCATATGAAAAAGTGCATTAACGCTAACGGAGAATATTTTGAGAAACAATAAATTCATTTCTGTCCATTTATAGTATTTTTTTCTTACTCATTCCGGATACTTATATTGCGCCTCACGTATTAGGTAAGATTATTGTAAAGCGTGTATCTATTATTTATAAAAATAAAACTACTTCCAAATAGTGGTCCTGAATTCCAAATGTCCGGTTGTTGCAGATGTGAAGCGACTGATCGGGCGTCGCTTCGCCGACCCCGTGGTGGAGAAGGAGTTGAAGCTATGGCCCTTCACAGTTGTTAACGAAAAGGGCGTGCCTAAGATCCAAGTCCTATACAAAAAGAAAGTAAAGAGATTCTTTCCGGAAGAAATCAGCGCCATGGTGCTGTCCTCACTAAAGACCTCGGCAGAGGCGTACCTAGGCAAATCAGTGCGTGATGCCGTGATCACCGTGCCCGCGTACTTCAACGATTCCCAGCGTCAGGCCACCAAAGACGCCGGCAAAATAGCAGGCCTCAACGTAATGCGTATAATCAACGAACCAACGGCTGGTGCGCTCGCGTTCGGTCTCGACAAGATCGAAGAGGAGGAGCGGAATGTGCTATTTTTTGATTTAGGCGGTGGAACTTTCGACGTCTCCGTGCTGACTATCGAAGAAGGCATCTTCGAGGTTCGCGCAACGGCTGGGATATCGAATATTGGTGGTGAAGACTTCGACACACGCCTGGTGGAGCACTGCGCTAGAGAGTTCTATAAGGAGCACCGACTGGATCTGTCCAGGGACAATAGTGCTTTAAGACGGTTGAGGGCGGCGTCTGAGCGTGCCAAACGCATGCTTTCGGTAGCTACGAAGGCCAGCATTACACTGGAGACGCTGCACGTCGGAAAGGACTTTCACACGGTCATTACTCGCGCACGTTTCGAGGAACTCAATCAGGACCTGTTTCAAATCATTAAGGACATTCTGCCACGAGTGCTATCCGACGCGGAGATGAGTAAAGAAGATATAGATGAGATAGTGTTAATTGGAGGGTCCACGCGAATTCCTTACATTCAACAGATAGTGAAGTCGTTCTTCAAAAAAGAACCAAACAAGACCGTAAACCCGGACGAGGCCGTAGCCCACGGCGCAGCCATTCAAGCCGCTATCTTGAGCAACCAACATTCTGTGACCATTCCTAAGCTAGTTCTCGTTGACGTGGCTCATCTTTCGCTCGGCATCAAGCAGTTCGGAGACACCATGAGTGTGATCATCAAACGGAACACGACCATCCCTACTAAAAAAACCGAAAGGTATAGCACCGCTGTTGACAATCAAACTGTTATCCCTATCAGCGTGTATGAAGGCGAGAATCACATAGTATCTCAAAATAATCTACTCGGAGAGTTTACTATGTCTGGATTTCCACCACTCCCGAAAGGCCAAGCTAAGGTATATGTAACATTTGAGATCGACTCCGACGGAATCCTTCAAGTTTCTGCGAAGAACGACATCACAGGGGACAGCAAGCAGTTAGTTATCACCACCAACAAGGGGCGGTTGTCGCAAAAGACGATCGCGCGGCTGACGCGAGAGGCTGAAATCAGGAAGCGGGGTGAGGAAGCCAGGCGAGAGGCGGCTGACGCGAGAAATGAGCTGGACAGCCTCTGCATCCGCATCAAGGATATGGCCCAGAAGCTGCAAGAGTGGTTGGCAAATGAAGGCGACAAGGTGCTGGCTGAAGACATCGCCGCTAAACGACAAGAGTTGCAACAGCTTCTGGATATGTCGAAGTAGAAGATTCAATCGCGGTAGGCTCTGTGACTAAAAAAACCCTACCTCTTTCTGCCGACAAGTTGCAATGTGAGCAATGTCAAAGTGAAATAATCTTTATTCCATAAGTAAGCAAATTACACTTGAAATCGTCATACTGATTAAACTCTACTGCCCATTCGTAAGGCAGATTCCCCTGAGAACAAAGAACAAGGAACTCTAGGGGTTGCATTTTGTAAATATAGTCAAAGTCAAAGTCAAAGATTATTTATTCCATAGGTAAAAT